CCCAAAGTAATATTATGGATCATCTGGTCGACGCGCCTCCCTGTTACGGGCATGGTGCATCTGCCCGGCCCAGTCTCCGCAGACCGAACTACAATACACCGGTCCGCCCACATGCTCTTCTATGCTATATCACACATGCTCTTCTATGCTATATCAAACTTCAAATTCATATATTCAACTTCAAATTCTGAATCTTGGTCTTATTCACACACAAATAGAGAGACGAGCATGTAAATTATTACCAACAACAATGTCACAAGCTGAAGTTCATGGCACCGGAGCCATATTTTTCCAACAAATACACATATTTTTAAATTAAAATATCATCTATATCTATATCTATACTATTATAAAAGAATCTATACTATTATAAAAGAGCCAATGAATCTGTAAAAATATGATATGCCTACAATACCCTTACTTTTTCATATCTGTAATGTCAAATTTGTAATTTATTACTCATTCCATACTAATATTTTTAATTATTAACTAATATAATAATGATTTAAATACCTAAGCGAAGAGAAAACCACATTCTAGCGACCAGACACTCCACTTGCGTAACCTCTGGAGAGTAGCTAATTATCAATGCCTTTTATTTTTCACAATATCCCCTTTTGAATTTTTTTCACTCCGCATTTTCAGTAATATTAAAATTTGAACAAACTTTTAAAATTATCAAAATGTGTTTGTTTGATACTGTACAGAACACCAAAATTAGGACATTAGCTTACCAAATGGTAATTTTTTATAATTTAGTCAAGCAATGTATTATCGGTACAACAAAAACGCAAATTAAAGAAAAAAACTAATAAGAAAAAAAAAACACATGACATAATATGAAAGAAAACAAAATAATTTTGCACATGAATTTATAAAAATATTAGCAATTATTAAAATATAAAAATTATGTTATTACTTCACTTTTATTATTTTTATTAATATTTATATTTAATTGCTATAAGAAATATTTGAGCACAATAATAACTTGATTAGAAAAAAAAAATAATGCTAACTAATATCAATTTTTATTTTTATTATACTATACATTTATAAATTATTTACTACATAGTTTAGTTAAAAGGTACCTTTCATTAAAGTAAAGTTAAAAAAATATTTTTATCAAAAAAGTCAAATTTTAAAAAGAATCAAAAACTTATAAACTGAAATATAGTGATAAAAACTACTGTACAATAGAACAATGAAGAACATTACAAAAATGAAATGCGAAGACGTAATGCCAAATACATGAATATTGATTGCTTAAGATATCTTTTATATTTGATATATTTATAATATAAAACTATTATTACAATGATTATCAAATATATTATAAAATTAATTGAACGTAGTTATCAAATATATTATAAAATATGTCAACTTTAAATTGCGCTATAAGAAATATTTGAACACAATAATAAATTCATTATAAAAAAATAATAATGCTAAGTAATATTAATTTTTATTATACTATAAATTTATAAATTATGTACTATAAAGTTTAAAAAATATTTTTATCAAAAAAGTCAATTTTTAACAAGAATCAAAAACTTATAAATTGAAATATAATGATAAAAAATTGAAATATAATAATAAAACTATAATTACAACGATTAGTAAAAGAGATAAAAATATAAGATATAGTAAAATTATAAGTATGAATAATGACAAATAAAATTCAGTTAACTAAAAACAATTGGATGTAGTAATCAAATATATTATAACATAAATCAACTTTGAACAGAGTTATAGAAAATATTTGAATACAATAATAAATTGATTAGAAAAAATAATAATGGTAACTAATATTAATTTTTATTTTTATTATATTATAAATTATGTACTGTATAGTTTAGTTAAAAGGTGCATTTCATTAAAGTAGAGTTTAAAAAATATTTTTATCAAAAAAGATAGTGTATGCAACTAATATACATGAAAGTGTAAGGATTCACTCAAAATTTTTTTCTGACATCTTTTGACGATTGTGCAAGATTTAAACAATGTGAGTTCCAAATAATTTAGATAATTATATGTTGCTCTTTTTGAAAATATGCACTTTCAATTAACATTAAGAGGTCATAATGTATATAAAAATATTTTTAAAGAAAATATATTAAAATTAAGTAAAAGTAACTAGCCATACTTTAAGAGTATTTATATGTATATAATTTGAAATTAGTAAAATATAAAAAATTAATTTAAACTAAAAATTTATCCTAAAACGACATTGTTTTATGAATGAGACTGTAACAACTATTTTAGTTTTTAGTTAAGTATTCTGAACGATGATCTGGACTGACTATTAGGATTTTTTTACAGGCTTGATAAAATCATAGAAAACAACGTTACATTATATGACATAGTTAAAATTTTGTTCAAGTTTATATGTGTGTGTGTGTGTGTGTGTGTGTGTGTGTGTATATATTTAAATTTACCATATAATATTATTATCCATCTAATTGGAGGAATTTTAAGATTTGCAGTTATGAACTTAAGATTATACATGTTATGTGGTCCACCACATATTAATTGGTTGATATTTATTCAACTACAATTTTATGAGCATTAAATGTGACATGAAGACCAAAACTATAGTTCATTACTTCATTGTATATGATATGACACTTTTAATTAAATCAATTTATTTCCTAATTGGAAATGAAAATATAATTTACCAAACAAAATATTTTCAATCTTTTTAAATTGTTGTTTTAAGATTATTGGAATCTAAATGAGATTGTGCACCATATGTTTGTAATGGCTCATGAATTATAATATAATATTTGAACATAAAGAAAAAACTAACCAAGATTAAATTTTAGAATATATTTATAACTCATGAAAATGACTATAAATTATTATATTAAGTGAAAAAATGCATATGAAAATTATGTCACTGGAAAAAGGGAATGTAATATGAATAACATTTAAAAATTTTGCTAACAACAAAAAAACAACAAAAACATAGTCTTTTAGTCCCAAGTAAGTTGGGGTAGGCTAGGATGAAACCAAGAGAACCAATAGTAAGAGAAACACAAAAAAGGCTCAAAACAAAAGGAAGAGATTGGTGCAAAAGAGAAAGGAGCAAAAGTCACGGTTCTGGCACGTTGATTGCTAGCCTCCAAGCGCTCCTATCCACCGCGAAATCCTTGGAGATATTCTAATCTTTAAGGTCTCTCTTAACCGACTCTTCCCAAGTGAGTTTAGGTCGACCTCTACCTCTCTTTACATTCGACCCGCTGTAGAACTCCCCTACGCACCGGTGCATCAGGAGGCCTTTGTTGGACATGTCCGAACGACCTCAACCGATGTTGAACCAATTTCTCCTCAATTGGAGCCACCCCGACCTATCTTAAATCTCCTCATTCCGGATGCTATTCCTTCTTGTGTGCCCACAAAATCAACGCAACATACGGCATATGCATCTATGCTATACTTAGTTGTTGGACATGTTGCCTTTTGTAGGCCAATATTCAGCACTGTATAGCTTCGCCGGCGAATCGCCGTCCTATAGAACTTACTTTTTAGCCTTTGTGGCACCCTCTTATCACAGAGAAGGCCCGAAGCTTGACGCCGTTTCAACCAACCAGCTGTAATTCTATGCCTAACGTCTTAATCAATGCCACCATCCTTTTATAACATCGATCCTAAATACCGAAAAGTCTCCTTCTTGGCCACCACTTGCCCGTCAAGGCTAACGTCACCATCATCATGTGTAGCCATGCTGAAAGCGCACGTCATGTACTCGGTCTTCGTCCTACTAAGTCTGAAGCCTATCGACTCTAACGTGTCCTTCCACAACTCTAACTTCCTATTTATCTCTGCCCTACTCTCGTCAACTAGCACCACATCATCAGCAAAGAGCATACACCAAGGGATATCACCTTGTATGTCCCTTGTGGCTTCGTCCATCACCAAGTCAAATAAATAAGGGCTCAATGTTGACCCCTGGTGTAGTTCTATTTTAATTGGGAAGTCCCCCAAATGTTCGGACACACGTCATCGCATCCTTGTACATATCCTTGATGAGGGTAATGTACTTAGATGGGACTTTGTGCTTTCTAAGGCCCACCACATGACATTCATCGGTACTTTGTCATAGGCCTTCTCAAGGTCGATAAAGACCATGTGTAAAACTAACTTAGATAATGAAAGGCCCACAACATGACATTCCTCGGTACTCTTTCTGGGGGTTCTACTACTGGGTAGTGAGTTTCAGATAATAAGTGTATGTCCAGGAAGCAAAGAAACTTCTTCTCTTTGCGGGGACGAAACTTCTAGCCAACTCTAAACAAGTCTAACTTAGATAATGAAAGTTTGTCAACCAAATTTGTCATGCAACTTTAAATTTGTTTCTCAAATTTCAATAAACTTGACACAATTCATCATGTAACGTACTCTTTTGTTTGATTCATTGAAAATAATAATGCAAAAACTTAAACCGGCCATAAAACATATGACATAAGATATAATATTTTTAAATCACATTACAATATAAATTAGGTATCACGTGCATCGCACGTGCACTTTACTAGTACTATAAAAAGAATTAGATAAAAAAAAAAAATGACAGACTAACAGTTAGAATACTTCACGCTAGAATTGAGTATATTGTATATAACTTAGCAAACAAATGATGATATCCACATTTAGGATATATATAATCACCTTGTCCAATGAAAGAGGAGACTAACAAAATTAGCAACACTAACTTATCAAATACCAATAGCAACTTACCTTATTCAACTCCTAAAACCAAAATATAACAACAATAATAATAATAAAAGCCTCACTCAATCAATCTAACCAAATATTGGCGATCCATCAAAAAAAAAAAAAA